TTCGTAATAACCTTATAGTATCTTTGAACAGCCAAATGAGCCTCTTATAAACAATATAATTAATGTTCCCCTCCTCAAGATACATATATAACTTGCTTACTCATTTTTGAGAAAATGTAATCCATGCCCTTTACTATGGTACAAATTGCAAATACTGAGAAATGAATGTGTCAAATATACGTGCAATATCTGAGTATTAGAAATACTGGATCTGCTACTCAAACGAGAAATACTCAGAAATGTCAACAGTGAACACTTTCCAGGACCAATAAAATCTTTGAGATTTAATTATACATATCAACTAAATGTATCTCCTGTATCTGCTGGAACAAAACAAAGCAAGACTTACAATCAGGTCCAGTGAGGTTAATATACGGAATGTCCTGCATTTTCATCACAAATATCCTGTAAAATACGAGAAAGATATAAAGGCCATATTGTAAATTTTGGTAAGTTCTGTCCATACATAAATTTTCCATACGTCAAACTCTAATGTTAGTTTAGAGAGCAACAACAATGGTTATAATCAAAATGTGACCTCAACTAGTAAAAATAAATGTCATATGGTATAATATTCAAAATAAATTATTTTTTGTTTGTTAACAGCAATATTGTGGAAGGTATCTGTTGAAGTGATTTTCATTAGTCTGATTTGACACTGTGAAGTAATCAATTTTGTTATGTTTGTCCAAGCTTTATTTCAGATCGCCCCATACTACCAAAAAATAGACTCCCTAGCAACATTGTCATTCTTGATATATTACATTAAATTGGATTCATGCCAAAATTTGGCACAAGAGACCACATTTTTGTTCTTAAACAGCTGCTAACTAAATATCTTCAAAATAAAAAATATATATTTGCCTGTTTCATAGACTTCCAAAAGGCCTTTGATTCAGTTTGGCACCATGGCCTATTATACAAACTAAGACAAATTGGCATTTCTGGCAATTTCTATCAAGTAATTAAAAACATCTATCAAAACTCAACAAGTACAGTCAAAACCAAAAATGGCATGACTAAATGTTTCCCTGTTCAAAGAGGCATCAGACAAGGGGATGGCCTTAGCCCTCTCCTTTTTAATATATTCGTGAACAATATTAAATCACACATTGAATCTGGCAAAAATGACCCACCAATGCTACTAAACAATAGGCTCTCTTGCTTACTTTATGCTGATGACTTGGTTCTTTTGTCAGAAACAAGTAGTGGTTTACAAAACGCTATTAACAATCTACAGGATTACTGCAAACAATGGATGCTACATATAAACATTTCTAAATCTAAATCAATGATCTTCAATAAATCAGGCAAGCTTCTAAATAATTTCAAATTGCAAATCAACAGGATCTGAAAAATAGGGCACTGAAGGCATGTTTCAAAATTAAACAGCTACTATATTCAGAAACATTAATCCCAATTAAAATATAATTAAAAATGTTTGACTCAATGATCAAACCAATTCTTTTATACTGTTGTGAAATTTGGGCGGGTGACATTGTGAATAATAAAAAATACTTTATGAATCTCATGTCACCCATGGAAAAAATGCACATTAAATATTGCAAATTCCTACTCAAGGTCAATAGTAGAGCAACAAACACTGCATGCTTAATTGAATTAGGGAGATACCCATTAATTATCACTGGCATCAAACAAATGTTAAAATATTGGCTTAGAATTAAAAAAATGCCTGATAATACACTAATATATGATGCGTACAAGCTT